CAAATCAATCAACATGATACACCACATTAATAAAAGAAAAGATAAGAACCATATGATCATTTCAATAGATGCAAAATAAAAATCATTTGACAAAGTACAACATCCATTCATGATAAAAATGCTCAAACAAGTAGGTTTAAAGGGAACATCCCTCAACATAACAAAGGCTATATATTTAAAACCCACAACTAATATCATCCTCAATGGGGAACAACTGAGAGCTTTTCCTCTATGGTCAGGAACAAGACAGGAATGTCCACTCTCACCACTGTTATTTTTTTTAAGTTTATTTCTTTTTTTAGTCATCTCTACACCCAACATGGGGCTTGAACTCATGCCTCAAGATTAAGAGTTGCTCTTCCAAGTGAGCTCTCCAGGGACCCCTCACCACTGTTATTTAACATAGTACTACAAGTCCCAGCCACAGCAATCAGACAACTAAATCAATAAAAGGCATCGAAATCAGCAAGGAAGAAGTAAAAGGTACACTATTTGCAGATGACATGATACTCTATGTAGAAAACCTGAAAGACTCCAGCAAAAAATTGCTAGAACTCAAACATGAATTCAGTAAAGTCAGGATATAAAATCAATGTACAGACATCTGTTGCATTTCTATACGCCAATAATGAAGCAGCAGAAAGAGAAATTAAGGGATCAATCCCATTTTCAATTGCACCAAAAACCATAAGATACCTAGGAACAAACCTAACCAAAGAGGTGAAAGACCTGTACTGTGAAAACTATAAAGCACTGATGAAAGAAACTGAAGATGACACAAAGAAATAGAAAGACATTCCATGCTTGTGGATTCAAAGAACAAATATTGTTAAAATATCTATATACACATTTAATGCAACCCCTATCAAAATGCCACCAGAATTTTTCACAGAGCTAAAACAAACAATCCTAAAATTATTATGGAACCACAAAAGACCCCAAATAGCCAGAGCAACTCTGAGAAAGAAAAGCAGAACTGGAGCCATCACAATTATGGACTTCAAGTTATATATTACAAAGGTCTAGTGATCAAAACAGTATGGTGCTGGCATGAAAATAGACATCAATAGGACAGAATAGAAAACCCAGATATGAACCCACAACTATGTGGTCAATTAATCTTTGACAAAGCAGGAAAGAATATCTAATGGGAAGAAGACAATCTCTTCAACAAATAGTGTTGGGAAAGCTGGACAGCAACATGCAGAAGAATGAACCTGGACCACTTTCTTACACCAGATACAAAAATAAATTCAAAATGGATTAAAGACCTAAATGTGAGTGAGACATGAAACCATTAAAATCCTAAAGGAAAAACAGGCAGTAACGTCTCTGACATCAACCCTAGCAACATTTTTCTAGATAGGTCTCCTGAGGCAAGGGAAACAAAAGCAAAAATAAACTATTGTGACTTCATCAAAATAAAAAGCTTCCGTACAACAAAGGAAACAATCAACAAAACTCAAAGGCAACTAATGGAATGAGGGAAGATATTTGCAAATGACATATCCGATAAAGGGTTTCTATCAAAAATATATAAAGAACTTATAAAACTAAACACTCAGAAAACAAATAATCCAATTAAAAAATGGACAGAAGATATGATCAGACATTTCTCTAAGGAAAACAACCAGATGGCCAACAGACACATGGAAAGATGCTCAACACCACTCAGCATCAGGGAAATACAAATCAAAACTACATGAGATATCACCTCACACCTGTTAGTATGGCTAAAATCAACCACAAAAGAAACAATAGGTGTTGGTGAGGATGTGGAAAAAGAGAAACCCTCCTGCACTGTTGGTGGAAATTCAAACTGGTGCAGTCACTGTGCAAAATAGTATGGAAGTTCCTCAAAAAGTTAAAACCAGAACTATCCTACAATCCAGCAATTACACTAAGTATTTACTCAAAGAATACAATAATAGTATTCCAAGGGACATATACACCCCAATGTTTACAGCAGCATTATCTACAGTAGCCAAATTATGGAAATGGTCCAAATATCCATCAACTGATAGATAAAGAATAGTGGCATGTATGTGTTTACACACACACACACACACACACACACACACACGAATATTACTCAGTCATAAAAAAGAATGTAATCTTGCCATTTGCAATGACATAGATGGAGCTAGAGAGTATTATGCTAAGTGAAATAAGTTAGTCCAAGAAAGACAAATACCATATGATTTCACTCATTTGTGGAATGTAACAAACAAAATAAATGAGCAGAGGGGGGAAAAAAGGGAAGGAGGCAAACCAAGAAACAGACTCTTAACTACAGATATCAAACTGATGGCTACCAGAGGGAAGGGGGGTAGGCAGATGGGTGAAATAGGTGATGGGGATTAATAAGAAGGGCACTTGTGATGAGCACCGGGTATTGTGTGTAGGTGCTGAATCACCAAATTGTACAATTGAAACTAATATTACACTGTACATTAACTAGAATTTAAATAAAAACTTTAAAAAATGTAGTGGATTGCCATCAATGGAAGTGTTCAAGCTGAGGGGAGGTAACTGTATGTCAAAGCTGAGATCAAATTCCTGCTCTGAGGCAAAAACTGTATTAGAGGATGTGTAATGTTCTTCCTATTGCTAAGTTTTTATAGTTCTGTAATATGCAGAAATGGATGGGAGGGTATAAGAGTAAGGATTGTTCGCTGATTGCAAATCTGCAGCCTACTAACTTTCTCCATGTAAACCATTCTCTAGAGCCCTTAAGTGATACTGAACTCTTATCATAGAGTGTAAATAATAGTTTCTTCTATGAAATCACACCTTTGGCTCAAGACACATTTACTTTTGACTATTAATTTCCTTAAGAGTTCCCTCCAAATAGTAAAATCTTAGAATAAGAAATTAGAATAGAATAAACTGGTTTATTCATTCAATGGGATTCCAATCAGCAGTTAAAATGCATGAACTCAAAAACATAATGTTGAGTGATAAAAATTAGCAAAAGGATACATGCTATATATCCCCATTTATGTACATTAAAACTATAGAATGATATTATATAGTATTTATGGATCTATCAATATAGGTAGCAAAAGTGTAAAATAGGCATGCGAATGATACATCTAACTCCAAGATTGTGGTTACTTCTGGGGAGAAAGACAGGGAAAGGGACAATGAGATAGAGTTTTAATTACATCAGTAATGCTTTATTATTAAAAAAAAAAAACTTGGAGCACAAAAAGCAAAATACCTATATCTGTACTGGGTTGACAAATGATCCTATTACTATATCATTTCTGTGTATTTCTGTGTGTTTTAAACTGGACTGACACTTCTACAGAAATTATGTTGGAGGCCATAAAGTCTAGTCCTTCTACAAGTACAGGAATCGCCTCTCATCTCTGGTCACTGAGGCTTTGTTCTAACTTTATTCATTCTTCAAGTTCATTTTGTCCTTATGTTATTTTTTTTTATGTTTTATTTATTTCTAGGAGAGAGAGAGAGAGACAGCGTGAGCAAGGGAGGGTCAGAGAGAGAGGGAGTCACAGACTGAAACAGGCTCCAGGCTCTGAGCTGGCAGTCAGCACAGTGCCCGATGCGGGGCTCGAACCCACGAACCGCGAGATCATGACCTAAGCGAAAGTCGGACGCTTAACCGACTAAGCCACCCAGGAGCCCCCATTTTGTCCTTATGTTAAAGTAAAATATGCTTTTTGGTCAGATTCTCCTCCTTGGACCTGGCTCTGCCCACGCCCCTAAGACAATGATGATTCTACTGTATTCTCCCTGCTGAGATAACTCACAGGGCTGCCCTTCTACACAGGAATAGGACTTTAAGTCCTACAGGAAATTTACTAAAATATGCCCCATGTGGATACTATGTCAAACTTGTACTGAATATTTTTTACTACAAAAGACATCTTCTTGGTTTCTACTATAATTCAATAAGGGATAAAACAAAATGAAATGCATAGTGTAATATCTTTAGTCTACTTTTAAGGAACCAATATATTCCCTCTCACTTAAAAAATTTTTTAATTAGAAAGATAATATTTCTTCTATAAACACCTTCATTTCCAGATTGGCTACAAAGTCTGTGTTCTTTTTTTTTTTTTTTACTGTAATGTAAGAGGAATTAGGTTTTGGTTTTTTTCCTGGTGGGTTAGCTCAGTGATGTCGAAATTGCAAACTGTGACCAATTACTAGGTCATGAAATTGATGATGGTAACACAGTTTTAAAAATGTATTAGAATAGAAACCACTGGAATGTAATTCTCATAGAAATAATAAGCATTGCTTGTGAAACTTTTGCTTGTGTTTTAAAAACTCATATACACATGTACTGAGTCACAACATAAGCTGTAGTTTTTACTATAAGTTGCAGTAAAAAACACATCTGAAAACAAGTGGATTAGATGACAGCAAATGCTTCCAGAAGGTGCTTTAAGCCAGATTTCCTTAGTTTAGTCTAAAACACAAAGCATTGTTCAAATTGGCTGGGTACGTGTGATACGAAGACAGAATCCAAGAAGAACTAACTAAGATCAAGCTCAGGCTCAGAACTCTCTCTTTGCTAGGGACCAGTGACACAAGTGAGAAATATTCTGCACCCTACATTGTCCAAATTTAAAATTTCACAGCTTCTGGAAGCTTACTTCATCCATATACATCACAGATAAAGACTACACTGTGCTCATGTGCACAAGAAAAATCTAGCAAATTAACCCGCTGTGCTATTGTTGACACTTTGGCAAATTGACAAAGCCCAGCAGCTTCGATCCTAATCCTCAGTAAACAAAGGTGTTTGAGTTTCCATAAGCCTGGCAAGACAGAGCAATTAGCCTGGGAAACTCAAATGCAAAAGAAACAAAATTTATGAAACCGCTCCTTGTTATACCCTAAAGAGGGAATTAGTTAGAGGTACATCTTTCCTCAAAACACACACAAACTGAATGGATTGTCATTTCTTTCCTTCTGTAACATAATTTGCTTTTTATTTATTCTCACATACTAGAAATGTAACCCACCTCGAAGAGCATTAATCCTATTAGGGTTAAGTGCATACATGCCACGCTCCAAATTGCCATAGACATTACTTCTTAGCAGGACGTCCTCTGTGAACAGGTTGCGAATAAGGTATCTGGATGACAGCTCTGGGCGAGACTTTGATTTCGCTATATTTAGCACTGATTGTGGCAACAGTACATTTCTATCTGGATTTCCAATATATTCTAGAAGCAAAAGAGAAAGAAGATGTTAATTTTCATGGCAAAGGTAAGGTTCAAGTTTTTAATTTTCTTTCTTTATTTTTTAAATTTATTTTTTTAATTTACATCTAAGTTAGTTAGCATATAGTGCAACAATGATTTCAGGAGTAGATTCCTTCATGCCCCTTCCCACAAGCCCTTCCCCCTTCCCACAAGCCCTCCAGCAACTCTCTCTTTGTTCTCTGTGTTTAAGAGTCTCTTATGTTCTATCCTCCTCCCTGTTTTTATATTATTTTTGCTTCCCTTCACTTATGTTCATCTGTTCTGTGTCTTAAAGTCCTCATATGAGTGAAGTCATATGATCTTTGTCTTTCTCTGGTTGACTAATTTAGCTTACAATAATATGTAGGGTTCAACTTTTTTAAAAGGCTTTAACAGACTGGTTGATTTTTCTGAATTTTTAGGCTCCAGAATTTGAGAAGTTAAAAATTAAAAGCCTTGGGGCACCAGGGTAGCTCAATAGGCTGAGCGTCTGACTTCAGCTCAAGTCATGATCCCGCAATCCATGGGTTCAAGCCCCACATTGGCTCTGTGCCTACAGCTCAGAGCCTGGAGCCTGCTTTGGATTCTGTGTCTCCCTCTCTCTGCCCCTCTCAAAAATAAATAAACATTAAAAAGAATTAAAGCCTTAAGTTTTTAATGTATCATGAGACAGCATGACAAGTAAAACAAGAATCACTGCTGATATGATTACATATGTTCTGATTGTTCAGGAAATTGATTGAGTGTTCTGTTACCTTTCAGGATATAATCCGTTTTAACATTCCTTTTAGTAACAAATTCTAAGGAATTTTAATGCACAGCTGTCCTCTTTATTAAAAAAATACTTTTTCAAAAAGAAGCAACAGGGGCACCTGGATGACTCAGTCGGTTGAGCATACGGCTCTGTATTGGCTGAGGTCATGATCTCACAGTCATGAGATCAAGCCCTGAGTCAGGCTCTGTGATGAGCGTGCAGGTTGCTTAGGATTCTCTCTCTCCCTCTCTCTCTCTCTGCCCATCCACAGCTCTCAGTCTCTCACTCTCTCTTTCCCTCTCTAATATTATATAAAGCTTAAAAAATCATTTAAAAAAAGGAACAAGGTTCTTACTGAAGTAATTATAATTATTTTTGGGTTTTTTTTTTTGCTTTTTATTTTATTAATTTTTTTTTACAAATAGTTTATTGTCAAATTAGTTTCCACATAACACTCAGTGCTCATCCCCACAAGTGTCCTCCTCCATGCCCATCCCCCCCTCCCCCCACATCCATCAGTCCTCAGTTTTTGAAGTAATTATAATTTTTAAAATGTAGGTTTTCTGGGGCGCCTGGGTGGCTCAGTCGGTTAAGCATCTGACTTCAGCTCAGGTCATGATCTCACAGTTCATGAGTTCTAGCCCCATGTTAGGCTCTGTGCTGACAGCTCGGAGCCTGGAGTCTGCTTTGGGTTCTGTGTCTCCCTTTCTCTCTGACTCTCTCCTGCTCACACTCTGTCTCTCTCAAAAATAAATAAACATTAAAAAAATTAATGTATGTTTTCTATTGGTTATTAAACTCATCATTTAAAAATCAACAAACTCATCTTGGTTATCATCTTTTAGATAACTTATTTGAACTGAAAAATAAATTTTAAGCCTATTTTCATTCCTCAACTCTACAGTCTAATTATTACCAACTCTCATCAGTCCTAGGGAGTCAAATTAACCATACTTAAAAATATTATGTTTTACATATAATAAAGAATCATTTGTTGGAGAAAATATGTTAGAGAAATACAATATGATTCTTACAAGTCCATAAACATTTTTCATCTTGAAACATTCATTTAATGGGTAACAGGATTAATTACTGAATCCCCCAGATCCAATATTTAGCAACAGACATTAAATTATTCAAAATTTCACCAAACGGGTCCCAAGACTTCACTCTGGAAGATCAGTCTAACGATATTTATCAAGGTCAAAAAAAAAAAAAATTAATACCCTTTGGCCTGGTAATTCAAATTCTAAGAACCTAACTTAAGAAAAGAATCCAGGGGTGACTAGGTGGCTCAGTCAGTTAAGTGTCTAACTTCAACTCAGATCATGATATCATGGTTTGGAGTTCGAGCCCTGTGTCAGACTCTGTGCTGACAGGTCAGAGCTTGGAGCCTGCTTTGGATTCTGTGTCTCCCTGACTTTTTGCCCCTCCCCGACTTGTGCTTTCTCTCTCTCTCTCTCTCTGTCTCCTCCCTCTCTTTGTGTGTCTCTGTCTCTCTTTCTCTCTCTCAAAAATAAACATTAAAACATTTAATTAAAAAAGAAAAGACTCCAAAAATATGTACAAAGCTATACAAAGAAATTAGGGCACTTACTCAATAGAATATTATATACCTGTTAAAAAGCAATGATCATAAACATTAGAGATTCTATAGGAAAAACATACACCTATCATGTTTAAAATGAAAAGGTTAGAGAGGGAGGCAAGATGGCGGAGAAGTAGGGAGCTCCATACATTTCACTCCCTCCCATCTCTCAAATGGAGAAGGCCTGAAGCCATAGGAACCCTTATAGAATCCGGGAGTTTGAGAGAAAAGGAGACAGAGACCACTGAGAAAACCTTACAGCGTGAGTGCAAACTGGGGAAGATTAAAAACGGGCCGGGACCCGGAGACACGGAGGGAGGGGAGGGAACCCTGTTTGCGGGGAGCCGCGGTGAGTCTAGGGGGAAAGAAAGAGTGGCCAAAACTGCTCAAAGCATTGTCCATGTCGCTGGAAAAGAGAAAAACCTCCGCTCAGGACACAGAGGGATCCGGTTTCCTGCTGTCCAGCTGACCCTAGGTGGGACACACTGGTCACAGGGGACCGCGGGAGAAACTGCTCCTCAACCTGGAGGGGAAGCAGCAGCGCCTGAAGCCGTGCCTCTTTGCATCTGGCACGGCTGAATTACCAGTGGGAGACGAGAGGCTTGAAACTGCTTGGAGGGACTCGGCCTGCGGGTTTATATTTCAGGCGATATCAATGGGGTGCGTGGACTAAGATCTGGTAATGAGGCCTGGCTTGGGATATAGAGCACGGCCCGCCTTGGCTATGCCCGTGGCACAGGGAGATTGGACCCAAAAGAGTGAGTTGCAACGCTTGGTTCGAGAAAGGACTGGGACGTCACCATTTTTCTCCCCACAACCACCAAGGTGGGACCTCAGGGAGTGGCCCGAGGGATGCAGTGGAAGCTAAGACCTGCCTACACCAAACCATGCCCATCCCCACTAGAGAACTGCTTTTTTTTTTTTTTTTTACTGGAGCCCAGGGCAAGACCAACATGGATGCACGGCCATGAATAATTCTGGATCAATTCTTTCTATTCAGATATATTTTTCCCCTTGTCTCATTCATAACCCTCCACTCTGTTGGACTGGGTACTCTGGTCACTGGTTTGCTTAAACGGTCACATTGAATCCATTGTCTAGATGTATATTCTACACCTCCACCGCTACCTTTCTATCTCTGTCTCTCTGGAGTAATTAGACTATATAGTTTCTCTGGGTAACATTATCTTCATTTCTTTCTCCTAGCCTCTAACCATATTCTCCTCTTTCTCTCTCTGAATTAAGCCTTAGTCTCTTGTCTGGTCATTTCATTTCCAGTTTTGCTTCCTCCCTGCCCTTTCATTGCTCTCTTTGTATATGCTCTTCCATCAGCACAACATATACCTGGCTCTTTATTTGTAGCTGGGAATTCTGGTTCTCTGCTTTTAGACTGTCCTTTGTCTTTTGGGATTTTTCTTTTTTCTTTTCTTTTCTTCTTTTCTATTTTTTATTTATTTTTATTTTTATTATTTCTCTTCCCTCCTTCCTCTTTTTTCCTGTCCCTTCATTTTTTTCTTTTTCTTTTTCCCTTTCGGTTTGCATGTTTGTTGGATTTCTCTGTGCGTTTGTGTGCCTTTGTTTTCTGTGTGTTTGTCTGTTTTCTTTTCTAGGGCTACCCAAAAAAACAAGCCAAAGTACACATGGTGGTGAGTCCCAAATACCACTATGAGTAGGGAAATAAAATAACCAAAGTCTCAACAAGAGAGACCAAGAGACACCATTCAAAGAACACTTCCTGAATAGACAGGCCCTGGACAAAGAGTCTTCTTTAATACAACAGTATTCGCAGGTGCAGAGTACATAACAAGCTTTTAAAACTAACAAGAGATAGAGGCGCCTGGATGGCTGGCTCAGTTGGTTAAACGTCTGACTTCGGCTCATGTCATGATCTCAAAGTTTGTGGGTTTGAGCCCCACATCGGGCTTTCTGCTGACAGCTGCCACATGCTTCGGATTCTGTCTCCCTATCTCACTGACCCTCCCCTGCTCATGCTGTCTCTCTCTCTCTCTCTCTCTCTCTCTCTCAGAAATAAATAAAATAAAACATTAAAAATTAAAAAAAAAAAACAACTAACAAGAGATAGAAAGCTAACCAAAATGACGAAACAGAAGAACTCTCCTCCAAAGAAATTCCAGGAAGAAATGACAGCTAACTGCTCAAAACAAATATAAGCAAAATAACTGAACAAGAATTTAGAACAATAGTCATAAAATTAATCGCTGGGCTTGAAAAAGGCTTGGAAGACATCAGAGAAACTATTACTACAAAGACTATGGAGCTTAAAAATAGTTGTGATGAATTAAAAAATGCTATAAATGAGGCACATAATAAAATGGAGGTGTCCAATGCATGGATTGAATAGGCAGAAAGGAGAATAGGTGAATTAGAAGACACAATTTGAGAAAAAGAGGAAGCTGAGAAAAAGAGAGGTAAAATGATCCAGGAACACAAAAGAGAAGTTCGAGAGCTCAGTGATATAATCAAACTGAACAATATCTGTGTCATAGGGATTCCAGAAGAGGAAAGACAAGGAAAGACGCTGAAGGAGTCCTTAAACAAATTATAGCAGAGAACTTCTTCCTCAATCTGGGGAAGGAAACAGACATTGAAATCCAAGAGACACAGAGAACTCCCCTCAGA